AAAAGTGGAGAAGAAGATGAACACTAGAAGACCATAAAACCCAAGATGATAGTTGTAATTTGAGCATTAAAACTCATATTTTAGCCTTGGTGGTCTTTGTGTTGTTATTTTGTAACATGGTTGAAACTCTTAGAAAACTCTTAAACTGTTTGGATATTTCTGTTTTACTCGAGGTCGAGTAAAGAACTAAGTGTGGGGGAGTTGATATGTTTGTAATTTCCGTGTGTTTATTTACGTTTTTAGATAGTTTTGGTTGTTTAATATTTCGGAAATTACACACTTTCGGTGTAAATAGTTTAGTCTGTTAAATTCTTGTAATTTGTTTAGATTAGGTTCATTCTGAGCTCAAACAGGTCCAAGTACACTTTGGAGACCATTGGTGAAACATCACAAGTGCAAGGAAGGTGCAAGAATACAAGAAAAAAGTGAAGATTTCATTTTTGGTCTGTACCCGGTCGGGTATGACCTATACCCGGTCGGGTACCCTTCTGAAATTTCGAATCAAATCGAATCCGGGAACAAGGCATCATGCGGGAAGATTTTAACACGTTCGGGTGTCCATACCCGATCGGGTGACCGACAGACCCGATCGGGTATGACCCCATTTTCCAGCTTCGCGGAAGCCGCATATGGTACCCGATCGAGTGGGCTGAAAACCCGATCGGGTACACGATCCTGCAAGCTTAAAAAGCCTATAAATACACCCCATTTCCTCCACAACAAATCACCAATTCCTTTATACTCTTAAGCTCAGTTTAGAATAGCATTTCTCTATATTTCTTTTAGCATGTTTAGTCTCCAAATGAGGAGCTAAACCTCCATTTCTTGGTATTGCTCTTGAAGCTTGTTGATTATTAAAGTTGTGAGTTATTTTCTTAACTTCTTTTCCTTGAATATTAATTCTTCCTTTAAATGCTATTTCTATATCAATGTTGGGGAGTGTTGCTAAGATGACAATTAGTTAACATCTTGACATTAGTTATAGTAATAGTCATTTCTTCCTCTATGTTAATATTGGGGAGTGTTACTAAGATGACAATTAGTTAACATCTTGATATTAACTATAGTAGGATTCATCTTCTTTAATATTCTTCCTTGAGTATCAATTAATTCCTATTCATATTTCATATTAATATTTTGAACATTACTTAAAGGATCAACTAGTTTTGTTTCATATATTAATTACTACTAGATACGATCAACGAACCAATGGTTAATCGTTGATAGTTTCACAAGTAAGTAACTTCGGTCCATTAATGCACGGTTGTGGTTAATAGATTTAAGAGGAATTAATTGTGTTGGTTAAACCAAAACCGCTTGTGTTGAGGTTATCGATCTCAATTGATTTCATCAAGGAGTTAAGCGATTAAATGCTACTATCAAGTCGGTATACGGCGCTTGTTCTATACTTGACTAATAGTAAGGGTTATTAATGAACGGTCGTTGTTAATAACTATCCTCGATGAATTGGATATACTCCTCGATTGAGTATTCGAGAGGAGATAAGTTATAGATATAACGATGATCGACTAAAATATATCAACAAGTGGAAAGTAGCAATGCCAAGTCCTTTTTATCTTTGAATTAAACCACATAACTCGTTCATCTTCGTGTTTAATTTTAATCAAATCACTCGATCAAAACCCCCCTTTATTTACTAGTTACATAAAAAGAAGAGTTATTCCTTTCCCTGTGGATACGAACTTTACTTCACCTATACTACGTATAAGTGTTAGTATTGAATTTACTTTGAGTGCACTCACGACAAAGTGCACGTCAATCGGACAGACCGTAAATCGGCAAGGCCATGCGAAGCAGTGAAGGTTACAGTCAACAATATGGTGAGTTTTGTTATGTTTTATTGCAATAATTTCCGGAATTTTAACTGCAATGATTGTAGATTAAAACTATTTTTTTAACTGCAATGATTGTAGATTAAAACTATTTTTTGCAATACATTCACAATATGAATTTTTGTGTGTGCAATGGTTGTAGATAAAATCTATTTTTTTTTTGCAATACATTGCGCAATAATTTCCGGAATTTTAACAGTGTGGCGCTGCAGTTAATTTTAACGGCAATGATTGTAGATTAAAACTATTTTTTTGCAATACATTGCGCAATATGAATTTTTGTGTGTGCAATACATGGCATTATCGATCTACTAACGAAAAAGAATAAGGAGGGAGTAGCAGAGAATTAGTTTATGCAGAGGGGAACAAACATGGAAAGAGGTTACCTTACCTTCCGGAGTGGTCTCTTCAGCGGCAAAAAAATGTAAAATTGGCTATTCCAATTACTACTTACACGATTTACTTAGGAGGGTAAAAAGGGAATAGATTTTTTAATTAAATGGCCGCATGATGCTAATTGATGGCATGAGATATCATTTTGGGAAAAAAAAGATTGAACTCATAGATTGAGAAACACATAAACTTCTAGTCATATGGGGGGTCATTATTTCTTGTTTCTTGGTGTACAAATGGGTCATATAGTAACATACTTTGATGAAACCTGTGATTTAATTGTATAATTTTATTTATCATAGACTCATACATGCAATTTTGCCATTCTTCATATCTTGTCATAATACTTCTATTATGTATGAAGAACCAACCCTCATTTCGAAATAGTATTTATCACATTGTAACGATTTAATGATGTCTTTTTTCTTGAGAATCATTGATGCCATCTATGCTGCGCTCACACCAGGGGCGTAGCTAGGGGATGACAACCCTAGCCCCAGCCCAACCCAAATTTAAAAAATGTCAATATTTTTAATGTAAAAAGTTTCGTGTAAAAAAATACTTCTTATGTTCTCTTTTAGTTGTAACAGTCAACATTCGCACATTTGCCAACACATACATTTGACCGTAAGTATATCTTAATCTTTATTCTCTACTAATAAAAAATATTGAAAATCAGATTCTGAAAATTTGTAATGAGATGAATTGAAAAATATTTTTTTAAAAATAATTTCCATAAAATAATAATGTAAAATGTAGTCAAAGTAGATCATGTAAACATGCAAAAAGTCAACATGTTGCGATTACAAAAAAACGGAGGATAATATATTTCTTAGATCAACATTTATTTTCTCTAATTTGTATCCCTACACGTAAAATTTGTTTAGTGAGTTCCACTAATTTAGTTCATTGTTAGAACATCTCCAATGGTTTCTTCTAGGGATTTGCTTGCAATTTTGAAGCTAGTAGCTTACCATTGGAGTACTGCTCTTCCTTTTGCTTGAGAAAGCTAATTAATTAGCCTAAATGAGCTACTAGCTTGAGCAAGGAAAATTATTAAATAAAGCATTATAAATAATAAATGAAGAGGAGAATATTATATCTAACCATTGGAGTGTATTTCAATTTTGCTACAAATGCTTATGTGGCTAGTAAGCTAGTTAAGCTATGAGGACAATTAGCTAACCGCTGGAGATGCTCTTAGTTACTCCATATTTGGTATTAATTGTTCTGAACAATTTATTTAGAGTGTTAGAAGTTACAACTCATTATAAAGGCTATAGATTTAGTTGCCTTGAATAAATTGATGCATGTGTTGATAAATGTGCAGTGAGGTCTCTTTAATAAATAGCATGGATCGGAGAAGGTAGTAATGAATTGTCAATTGGAGTTCTTTAATAAATAGCATGGAAACTGTTTGCTAATGGACAAGTGATGCATAGAGTGACTATATTCAGCTCAAGAGAAGTCCCGATATCCGAGTTCATAGTATTTTGATGAGTAACTTGTGTACTAATGACTTCAAGTGAGAAGACTTGCACGAAGCTTAGTAGTTTGAAAGCTAGAAAACTTTGTGCACTCCCCAGGCCACTGCAAAAATAACACCCCTCATATTTAAAATATGGGTGAATATATCGATTTCAGTTTGGTTTGGCTAACTTGGTTTGAAAAGGATTAAAGAATGACTACCAAACAAAAATCATACTTCATTTCAATTTGGTTCAACTGTCCCAAATTCAGCTCAACTTTGTTATTTTGTGATGATATAATAAGATTTTATTGATTTTTTTAGTTGGGTTTGGTTTGATGTGTTTGGGAGAAATTCTACCAAACTCAAATCATTGAATATTATATGATTCAGTTTCGGTTCGATTTAGTTCAATTTGATCAATTTGAGCTGATATGTCCACCCCTAACTTAAATATAGCTGCTAATGCTCATAGGTGGAGATTTATCATGAACATGTTACAAATCTTCTTAGTTGATCTTTCATTTACAAATGTGATGGTAAACGTACTATAAAATATACACTACATATTTTTCGAGAAAGAAACACATTGGACATTTATTGGATCGCATCCCGTGCGTGTCAAAACTAATACTCCGTATGTGTATGTGTGTAATGCAGTGATGGTTAACCAATGATACATATTTTTATTGGGGCACTCATTCTTAGTTACGCTTACATGTATCGATGTATAATAAATATACTCCATTTTTATTATACTCCATTTTTATTATATATATCGGAGTATAAACTAATACTCCGTATGTGTATGTGTGTAATGCAGTGATGGTTAACCAATGATACATATTTTACTATACATTTATTGATTCATATATTGAATTTTCTTATAACTAATATAGCTATTATGAAGTATATTAATTTAGATCGGGCATGGAAGCTGCATGGCCTCATTTTGGTAAGTCCGAGTGCAATTGGGATCTGAGGCGGTTAATCACATCCTTGTCTAATAAGAACGCTTTGCTTAGAACCTCTGGAAGAATCGGAGGATCGCTTCCAAAAAGTTCTCCAGGTATATAAATGTGATTTGGATTTTGGGTCCCAAAAGCAGCAAAGGCAACTGCATTGCCCCCTCCAGTATTGTACACGAAATGAATGAGCCCTCGCGGCACAACAAAAATGTCTCCGGGACGAAGTGTCTTGGCAAACAATTTGTTCCTCGAGTCAATGAACCCCGCATATAGTGTTCCCTCAAACACTACGATGACCTCGCTTCCTAGAGGATGGGTCTGTGGAGGACTAAGTCCATATGGCCCGAAGTCCACACGCCCTAGTGAAACACCCAATGTGTTTAGTCCTGGTAGGTTGTCCACTATTATTGGTGTGATCGTGTATCCTAACCGATTTGATGTATTTCGTGGGATGTTCAACCGGGCTTGTAAGTAGAAATCATCGGCAGTGACTTCCGTTATGTTCTTGCAAATCTTTCCATTCACAAACACTGCGCATGCATTATAAAAAAGAATATTATATTGAAACGCATTTTATTAACATAAAAAAGTATGTGGTGACAACTATTGAAGAAAGAAGGGTAATTTGTTTGCACTACGTATGAATAATATACCAATATATATTATGAGATATATGTGTGTTCACATGTGGGTGTACTTATGTATATAAATTATAGGCCATAAAATTATTACATCACTTGCATCTAGCTATATTAGCTAGTTTGTTTAGAACACATGCTTTGATTTAAACACTACGTATTAGCCTATTCCCTCTCTAACTTAAGAATGTTGTCAACTTTGCTTTTCTTTTATCTTGACTAACATTCACACTTTCCCTTAACGTCAACCACACAGTTTTTGTTTTACTTGGTGTCAGTCAAATTGGCCAAATTTTAAGGGTCGGGAGGAATATTGAAAAGTCCCCTGTAGATGTGACTATGTTAGTGTAAACTTGTTATTGCGAAGCTATTATTCCATAGTTTTAAAAACAAGTCATCACTTTGACTTTCCCAAATGCCCCCCTCACCTTTGCTCGAGTGAAGGAAATCAATGGAAGGAATTCAAACATGGTATTGCAATATAATAAATTTGTATTTTGGGAAAACGAATCTCTCGTATATTATGGGTCTGGAAAATCATATTTCTTGGAGTTTTTTAGAGGAAGCGACGATAGTGGTTGATTAAATGCATACCCTCAGCTTCAGAGTCCTTGACAGCCACACAAAAGTCTTGCAACATGTCGGGATCTGCACGAGCGAGAGGAGAAGCGCCTAAGGCTATAGCTCCCATTGCCAGAGCTATGATGAACAACATATTACGGCCCATAGTTAATTGGAGAGTATATGGTAGTAAGATCAGAAATGGCACCCTTATTTTTGCTATGAATTCTGATGGAAATGAGAAATGGATGGAGGGCTATTTATAGGTATATTAAATGTAAACGCTAACCATAACTGGCTGACGAATTATCTATTTGTTGAAAATTGGTGCTTACACATTATGATTACAAAATGCTTAAGGTGAGATTATCAATTTCTGTTGTCCCAAAAAAGCTTAATTCGTGACTAATTTAATTTTGATTTGCCATATTATCATTTCATTATTTGCTCAGATTTCCGCATCAAGATTATTTTTCATACTCATCTCTGAGTCTGATTCGAGGTGCTGTAAAATCAAAATAACCAAGCCCTAACGCACCAATCCGGATAAATACAAACAGCTCCTGCGGCAATTCTGCCTGGATGATGGTCTTCACTTGCATCCGAGTAGAGTTACTACTCACTATTATTATTATGACTCTTATTATTACTAATATTACTATTATTATTACTATTATTATTATTACTATTATTATTACTATTATTTTTATTACTATTATTACTATTGCTATTATTCTTATTATTATTCTTATTATTATTGTTTTATTATTATTATTATTATTATTATTATTATTATTATTATTATTATTATTATTATTATTATTATTATTATTATTATTATTATTATTATTATTATTATTATTATTATTATTATTATTATTATTATTATTATTATTATTATTATTATTATTATTATTATTATTATTATTATTATTATTATTATTATTATTATTATTATTATTATTATTATTATTATTATTATTATTATTATTATTATTATTATTATTATTATTATTATTATTATTATTATTATTATTATTATTATTATTATTATTATTATTATTATTATTATTATTATTATTATTATTATTATTATTATTATTATTATTATTATTATTATTATTATTATTATTATTATTATTATTATTATTATTATTATTATTATTATTATTATTATTATTATTATTATTATTATTATTATTATTATTATTATTATTATTATTATTATTATTATTATTATTATTATTATTATTATTATTATTATTATTATTATTATTATTATTATTATTATTATTATTATTATTATTATTATTATTATTATTATTATTGTTGTTATTATTATTATTATTATTATTATTATTATTATTATTATTATTATTATTATTATTATTATTATTATTATTATTATTATTATTATTATTATTATTATTATTATTATTATTATTATTATTATTATTATTATTATTATTATTATTATTATTATTATTATTATTATTATTATTATTATTATTATTATTATTATTATTATTATTATTATTATTATTATTATTATTATTATTATTATTATTATTATTATTATTATTATTATTATTATTATTATTATTATTATTATTATTATTATTATTATTATTTTTATTATTATTATTATTATTATTATTATTATTATTATTATTATTATTATTATTATTATTATTATTATTATTATTATTATTATTATTATTATTATTATTATTATTATTATTATTATTATTATTATTATTATTATTATTATTATTATTATTATTATTATTATTATTATTATTATTATCATCATCATCAATATTAAATAATTACATAATTATGACCAAAATAAAGATGATCGATTTACATGATTAGCTACTAGAGTAGTAATAAAATCATAGTAATTCATGTTCAAGATTTGAACTAAAATCATCACAACACTACATTGTAATAATGAATAGTCATACTTATGTAAATAAGTTTTATTTTAGTAACATTCTTATAAGAAACCCCTATTATCAATATCATCATCATCATCATCATTACTATTATTATTACTACTACTACTATTACTACTACTACTACTATTATTATTATTATTATTACTATTATTATTATTATTACTATTATTAATATTATTAGTATTATTAGTATTAAGATACCCGATTTGACGATTCAATTTAATTAAAAACAACAACCATGCATGATTATACACGGATTCACCATCACCATTATATGCTTAATTAATGCTTCAATCTCTTCACCATTGTTGAAGGTGTCCGGACGTCTGATATTTAGTTTTTACCATATCTATATCACATCAATATACGCACTGACCTCTCAATTTTGAGCCATATATAAAAATAAAAGATTGTACGAGAAGAGAAAAACACTAGCTACCATACCGTCTATAAATAAATTGCATTTTGTATGATAATATCTTGCTTGCTGGTACAAAAGTTGGTTCATCGATATATGGAGGGTTTAGACTTGATTCTGCTTCACTTTTTTTTTGATAAAAACAGGAATACAAATCAATGTCAATTTTGAGAAGCTGATCTCTCCCAATTTATTAAAAACCGCTTCTAGGAGCATTTTGAAGCATTCAGAAAAACTTTTTCTCTTTCACTCAAAGACCCCAATATCTATTCGGCTGCCTGAAAGAACATAAACAATTTAAGGAAACAAATCCAAACATCCCCTATATATAGTTAAGTTTTAGCTTTATGTAGTTATGTTTTAGTACAAAAAATAGAAGTGCCCCCAATAAAATAGAAGCCCTTATATGTACGAAGAAGTGAAAAACTTTAAGCAACTATTCAATTAGAGAATATTCGTTTTTATGGGCTTCTCTTGATTAATCTTTTCCCTGTTTTATTTTTTGCATATATGATTTTTTTCTACTTAAATTTAGATAATGGTTGGTTATAGTGTTTAAAATTTAATGGATGCTCCCTTTGTCTCTAATTAGTTATCTTGTTTTTGTCTTTTTGGCTTATCACAAAAAATTAGTCTTATTTTTTTTTTCTGCAAAAATATTTGGTTCATACCATTTTATATTTCGTACTTGGATCTTGATTGCATCTTTTACTTTTTCAATCATTTTATTTATAAGTAGTGTACGTCTGTACACACAAACCCAAATAAGATAGTTTATTCGGGGTATAGGAAGTAGCATTTAGTTAAATGTTAGTTTATGTGATTGTAATAGGTTCCATTTCCCGGATAAGACGTAATCCATGTTTGTACTAAGAGCCCGTTTTAATTCATGAACTTGTTTTTTGGCTTATCAGTCAACTTTTCCATCAAACACGTAACTTTTGGCTTTATTGTATAATAGTAAAAAAAAGTAAGGTTAAAATTACTTATTTGATTGTATTGACTGAAGTTACGGGAAATTTTATGGAACCCTGTATGATTCCACTATGGAGTCATATAACATATGTGACTTCACACAAATCAATTATTTTTACAATGGGGTCCTCCACTATAAATCAAATATAAAAATGAATGGCCCTTGTGAAGCCACATAGACTATATGATTTCATAGTGGAGTCATATAGGGGTTCCATAAAAGTTTTGCTAAGGTTACTGTTGAGGATCATTTAACTATTTTTTCATATAATATTTCTTAACTTAAATAATAAAATATATTTTAAATTATAATTTCTTCATAAATTAGCAGAATCGGCCATTCCAGCCACAACAGCCAGAACTTTATAAATTTCAGTAGAATTAGTCAATGTGGACAATTTGACAGGCTCTAAACCTTTTAAATGATGCCCCCAATAACATTTTTTCCTGGATCCGCCACTATATATATATATATACTCCCTCCGTCCCGAAATTATCTTCATTCTTTCCTTTTCGGTCCGTCCCATATTTATCTCCTCTTTCCTTTTTTGGCAAAGGATTTGTGGTTCACAACCATTCTTACACATTTCTCTCTCTTCTGCACAACTCTCCACCACACATTTCTCACTATCTTAATCTCCGTGCCCAGTCAAAACCGAAGTTAATTCTGGGACGGAGGGAGTATATACATACATACATATATATATATATATATATATATATATATATATCCATTCTCCAAAAGAACCCACAAATTAAACCTTCAACATGCATTCTCCTGGAAATATAAACATGCATAATCAAAAGGAAAAACTGTCAAATTAACCCTCGAAGTATGCCTAAAAAGTCAAGGGAAAACTATCAAATAAGCCCCCATACTATGCCGAAAAAGTCGATTAGGCCCTCGTACTTTACAAACACCCAATTAAGTCCTCGAAGTATTAAAAAACGTTCAATTAAGCCTTTTTGGCCGGTAAGTAACCGGTTTCCCGGTTAAACGGCGACGACGGCGATGATGTGCTCGAACCCCAGCAACGGCGGCTGCCGGGAAACGGGTTACATTTAACCGGGAAACCGGTAATTACTGACCGAAAGGGCTTAATTGAACACTTTTTAATAGTTCAAGAACTTAATTGAGTTTTTGTAAAGTACAAGGGCCTAATCGACTTTTTCGGTATAGTACGGGGGCTTATTTCCCAAAAGTCAATTAAGCCTTTCAACTAAAGAAACGTTTAATTAAGTCCGTGAACTATACAAAAATGATCAATTTTCTAATTCACCCGGTAAAGAGTCGGTTAGCTGGTCACCTTACTGACGTGTGGCATATTTTTATGTTTTTCCATTTTCTTTTTCCTTTCTTTACCTCCTTTCTTTTTCCAAGCTACTTTCTTCTTCCGGACAACCCAACAACCAACTAAATCCCTCTTTATTCTTCTTTTCAGCCTGCCCCCCGCCCCGTTGTTCTCCTTCTTCAGCTCACCCCTCCTCCACGTTCAATCTTTTTTAGCCCGTTTCTCACTCTCTTCCCACCCTCCTCCTCCCTTCTTCCTCCTCCTTAGCCCGCCCCTCCCCACCCCTCTGTCTTCCTCTTCTTCATCCCGCCATACACGGCGGCGATGAACCAGCCCGTAACTGGAGACTGTAGAGGCCGGAAATTAGGGAAGAGGTCGGTAAGGGAATAGCCGGAGAGAGAGACGGCCAAGACGGCTCCGCTGCAGTCGCATTCAGCTCCGGCCCAGCTGCAAGGGGTGAGATCAAGTCCAGACCATGAAGAAAATGTGCCGTTGAGCCAACATACGAACATTTGAGAGCTCTTGTTAATTGGTCCCCTGGTAAGAAAGTGTTGATTCTACCCAGAAACGCTGAAAGGATCACAAAAACATAGAGGAAGAGGAAGCATACATATATGAGGGAGAAGAAATTTGGGGCAGAACTGCGGAAGAAGAAAGGGGAAGAACGTTTGGTGGTGGGAAGAACAGAGGGAGAACTGGAGAAGAACGGTGCGTGGGCCAGAGGAAAAAGGGGAAAGTAAAAAAATGAAAAGTCAAAAATTGACACTTGGCTGCCACATCAGCTGTGTAACCGGTTGACCGAGAATAACCTGGCTAAATTAGAAAATTGAATGTTTTTATATTGTTAATGGATTTAATTGGGTGTTTCATTTGTTGGAGGGCTTAATTAACTTTTTTGGTATACTTTGAGAGGGTCAATTTGACAGTTTTCCCTAATCAAAATAATTAGCCTGTAAAAAAGGCAATTACCAAAGACTTAATGAAAAAAGATGCATATTCCTGAAGGGGCCAAAGCCCCAAAGGGGAAAGAGTTAAAAACAATTAGCTATTATCGGTCTAGCAATTCAGCCAGCATCCGCTCACGGTCGATCAACCAAGCCAACACAGTCGATCTGGTGCACGAGATATCAATTTGGTCAAAATAATACGACCTCACTATCTCCGTTCCACTAACATTGGGACATGAAGAGCTCACACAATTATAAGGGAAAGTACGTTTATGTGATCGATATTGAATTTATAAAGTGATAATGATTTAGAACCATACAAACTTTACCAAATTTTGTACTCCGTATTAAACAATTTTAGTGAGATGAACCAAAAGGAAAGATGGGACAATTTCACTAGGACAGAGGGAGCATTAATTAATATAGATATTTAATAAATTAAATGAAACAATATATAACTATGGCCCTTTGGCCTGAATATTACTGAAAAAGGAATAAAAGACAAAAAATTATCTCTTTTACAAATCTATCTAAAATATAAAATATCTTAAAATCTTATAATGGCCAATCAGGATTAGGGTATTTATGGGATTAAAAAAGTGTTGGTGTAATCATGTAGCTAAATTGAGTGATACCATATGTTTAGCCGTTTGTACTCTATTATTAATGGGCTTAACCTCCGTTTTATTTCCATCTGTACAGTAGCTCCCATCCGTTCCATCTTCCTCTCTAATCCTAGCCTTGAATACACCACCGTCCATTCTTTTATCTCTCGTCCCTCCCAACCTTGCCAACGTTGTCATCTTCTTCTCCCGTCCGCGTCCGCAATGTCACCCGTCCGCCCGAACCTCATAGGTAACCACCGGCTCTTTATTCAATCCGTTCCTTCAGCATCTTCATCTCTCAGAATCTCGACCTCGAATTCGACAAGTTGCATCCAAGGTAAGTAGCTATCGTCTCTCCCTCTTTTCTTCGCGGTTTTACTATTCAAGTGATCACAGTTGATGAAGCCCTCGCCGATTCGCCTACTGGCCCAATACTCTACGGTTTATGTCACAATGAAGAGCAGTTCAATTTACGAACCTGTCTACTGTTTTAATCTAATATCTAAACATCCCAGTTAAGTTCATTTCGATCTAATATCTAAACATCCCACATAGTTTTAGAATGGTCCCCATTATTTTATATTTAGCTTGAGATCGTTTCACACATCTAAGAAACAACACAAACCATTTACAAAAATATGATTATGGTATTTATATGTTTTCCTGAAATGCTGCCCCTGCTTTAAATTTAAAGAGTGGTCCCTATTAGATTTTAAAAATGCTTATATATTGGAGGAGGGCCATTTTGAGGTGTATTTCAGGTCAGACTTTTCAGGATTATATCACTCATATATCACTCTCATAACCATCACCTCTCTTCCATATATGCAAAGCCTATATTTTTTTCCGTGGTCATTGATGAGTGAGGCTGCAGTGGTCCATGGGAGTTCCTAAGGTCGCTACCTACTTCAATACGCCAATGACGTCTAAATAAAACAAACAACCCTTTTGTAAATTTATAATACTATATATGTTTCATCATCATCATCATCATCTCTTTTCTTTTATCTATGTATGTTTGTTATTTTTATTCATACAACAACAACATCCAAGTCTTATTCCCAAAAGATTTTAGGGTCGGCTAACATGATATCAGAACCCAAAAGAAAAGAGAGATAAGAAAAATAAAAATAAAAGGAAAGAGTTGGAACTAAATTTTAGAACAGTTGGAAGTAAATTCTTGAATTCACTTCTAAATACTTTCATGTTTCTCCTAATTAGTTGTTCATTTTTGAATAAATACTGGTTGATGGAGTTACAAAATAAAGATTTCATAGATGAAAAATGACTTCTTGTGCTGCATATTGTACTCTAGGTGATCAAAATATGCCCATAAAATACATGCTAATAAATATATATATCTCATTTAGTGTGTAAGCGTATATGTTATTCTGATTTGGTGAATGGATTCTGATTTTGTCTTAATAATTTTTTATTAGAATCATTTGATAGGTTGAAACTGAGGGTGCATAATTTGCACCTGTAACTGCTCAGACCTAACTGCTTTGAAAGGTTTTGCTTCTGTGCTCTAGACAGAAGTTCATTTTCAGCAAAGACAAGGCAAAGCTTCTCAACTGCATTCAGAGGAATTCTGAATATAGATCATTTAGTTGTTTTGCTTAATTGTTTTGCTACTTTGGAAGATTCGAACTCCCTTTTATTTATACTTTCTTTTTTGACCCCAAACTTCATCTTCACTGTTTTGTTCATTGACAGGAGGATTCTTACCAAATAATCAACATTTGTTGTTGGACCTTAATATATTTATTTAGCCTAGTTTTGTAATTAGTCATTTAGTCTTTTATTATTAGCTTGGGCCGTATATACTAGGGCTAACATCAAAGTGTATATATATTCCAATACACATTACGGAAAGAGCAATAGACTTTATTTCCAATTACTTTGACTCCTAAAAATCTAATATGGTATCAGAGCGGTTGAGAGTTACGCCGCACGCATAAGCCTATCGCTAACACATCTTCTTCCTCGGAAGAGCATCACCAGCGTGAACTGCTCGACACCATGGGAGACGATGCAGCAGCGAGATTGGAACATGTTGGACCTTAATATATTTATTTAGCCTAGTTTTGTAATTAGTCATTTAGTCTTTTATTATTAGCTTGGGCCGTATATACTAGGGCTAACATCAAAGTGTATATATATTCCAATACACATTACGGAAAGAGCAATAGACTTTATTTCCAATTACTTTGACTCCTAAAAATCTAATATGGTATCAGAGCGGTTGAGAGTTACGCCGCACGCATAAGCCTATCGCTAACACATCTTCTTCCTCGGAAGAGCATCACCAGCGTGAACTGCTCGACACCATGGGAGACGATGCAGCAGCGAGATTGGAACCGACCTCACCTTACTATTTGGGATCCGGCGATCAGCCCGGAAATCTCATAACTCATATCATCTTGAAGGGAGATAATTACGTTAATTGGTCTAGAGCAATTACGTTGGCTTTGAAGGCTCGCCGGAAGTATGTTTTTCTGGACGGAACTCTTAAGAAGCCAACGGATGCGGCTAGACTGCTAGACTGGGAGACAAATAACTCAATGGTCGTGTCCTGGCTTCTTCGTAGCATGGATCCGTCGCTCGTTGTCTCAATCCCGTTTCATGAAGAAGCACATTCGTTGTGGAAATATCTTGAAAAACGATTCAGCGAGGCGAATGGGCCAAGAATTCAGCAGCTTAAGGCTTCGATTACGGACTGTAGGCAGACCAAATCCATGTCCGTCGATGAATATTTTACAAAATTAATGGGGTTATACGATGAACTCTACCGGTTGAAGCCACTTCACGCTTGTACATGTGGGCTGTGTACTTGCAACGTGGTGGCTAAGTTTGCTACGGACAGGGAGGAAGAACAATTGCACCAATTCTTGATTGGGATAGACGACGAAATTTATGGCACGGTGAGGTCGAATTTGCTGTCTCACACCCCACTGCCCGACATTAACCGTGCTCTTCAGAGCTTTCTGCAAGAAGAGAGGTCTCGAGCCATTGCTCGAGGGAAGACAGTAGCTGCCAATAACCATGCGTTTGCTCTCCAGGCAGAACCACCTAAGGGAAGAATGGACAAGCAGGACCGAATGAAGCTGCTGTGCAGTCACTGTAAACAACGCGGGCATGAAATCAGCAATTGTTTCAAACTTCACGGATATCCCGAATGGTGGGAGGATAGAAATCGGAACAAAGGAGTGACTGGAACACCTGTTACGCGTGGAGGGGGGGCTCGTGCGCATGCCGTTGCGCCTGCCTTCACATTGGCAGATTCGGGCAGTAGCACTGTGAACTCCGAAGATGGGGGGCTGCGGGGTTTGAACAGGGAACAGGTGCAGGCCATTTTAAATATTCTTAAACCCGAAACTAGCTCCAATGATCGCATGACAGGTAAGGATATTTCTGTTGATTGGATACTTGATACCGGGGCGTCGCACCACGTTACCGGTGAATATTCTAGGCTTACTGAAGTTACTCCCATTAGGGCAGTCTCGGTTGGTCTGCCAGATGGAAGGCTCGTTACTGCTAGTTTGGAAGGGCGTGTGCCATTTTCCAAAAAATTTACTCTTGATCACGTTTTATATGTACCAGGACTGAGATGTCATCTTATTTCTATTTCGCAGCTAACGGATCAATTAAAATGCATTGTTACTTTCACTAATTCAATTTGTGCTATACAGGACCTACCCTCGAAGAACCTGATTGGAGCCGGTAAACGACGGGATGGGCTCTTCTATTTTTGTGGATCTCCTAGTGTGCATGCTGTGACGGTGGGAAATTTGACAGATTTTGAACTGTGGCATCGGCGACTAGGTCATCCTTCAGATCGTGTTCTTAAATTACTTCCTCCTATTCGTACTAGTTCTGCTGCTAAGAAATTAAATAAAGCTTGTGAGGTGTGTCCACAAGCTAAACATGTTCGAGACTCTTTTCCTCATAGTGATAATAAAGCTAGTACTATTTTGGAGTTAATTCATTGTGATTTGTGGGGGCCTTACAAAACTCCCAGTACGTGTGATGCTATTTATTTTCTTACATTGGTGGATGATTTTTCGCGAGCTGTCTGGGTATATTTATTGCGTGACAAAAAGGAAGTTTACTCTAGTTTTATCTCTTTCCTGGCTATGGTTGAAAAACAGTTTAATCAATCTGTGAAGATAGTGCGTAGCGACAATGGAACCGAGTTCAAGTGTATGATGTCTTACTTTGACACTCAGGGTATTCTTTTTCAGACTTCGTGCGTTCACACACCTCAGCAAAATGGGAGGGTGGAGCGTAAACATCGCCACATTTTAAATGTGGCTCGAGCTCTAATGTTTCAAGCCTGTATTCCGATATATTTATGGGGTGAATGTGTTTTAACTGCTGTTCATGTTATTAACCGCACACCATCCGGTTTGCTCGGAGGAAAAACACCTTATGAGATGCTTACTGGGCGAGCACCGAATTTCTCTCACCTGAGAATATTTGGTTGTCTCGGTTTTGCTTATGATCATCGCTCCAAAGGTGATAAATTTACCCCACGGAGTCGAAAGTGTGTTTTTGTTGGCTATCCTCATGGAAAGAAGGGATGGAAAATGTATGATTATGCTACTGGTGACATATTTGTTTCTCGGGATGTCCAGTTTCATGAGAATGAATTTCCCTTCGCTGAGTCTACCGCTGTCTTGGATTCCTCGGTTCAGATTCCTACGACCCCCTTGATTGAGGATGATCCTCACCTTTTGACGAACACTTCTGACACTACTACAGGGGCGGATTCTTCTTCAGTTATACCTGTGTCTTCAAACCAGGCTACTGTACCACTTGGCCGCGGACTACGTGAGAAACGCACTTCAGTCTTGCTTCGAGATTTTGTCACACATCATGTGCAGCATTTAAGCCCATCCCCGTCAGAATCCGGTCCACTCAGTCCTTCAGGTACGGCCTACCCTATAGCTCATTTTGTTTCATGTGATAAGTTTTCTGCCCGCCATCGGGCGTTTCTTGGTGCTATTACTGCAGGGATGGAACCCCGTTCTTTCCGAGAGGCCATGTCTGACTCTGGGTGGCGTGAAGCTATGAGCCGCGAGATACGGGCTCTCGAGGATAATCAGACTTGGGTTATGCAGCGGCTGCCCCCGAGTAAGAAGGCGCTCGGGTGTAAGTGGGTATATAAAATTAAATATAACTCTGATGGGACTGTGGAACGGCTTAAAGCTCGTCTAGTTGTGTTCGGTAATCATCAAGAGGAGGGCATTGACTATACGGAAACATTTGCTCCCGTGGCGAAAATGGTTACTGTTCGGACTTTTATAGCTGTTGCAGCGGCTCAAAACTGGGAATTGCATCAAATGGACGTACATAATGCTTTTCTTCACGGGGATTTGCATGAGGAAGTATACATGAAGCTTCCGCCTGGATTTAATGCATCTCAGTCCGGCCTTGTCTGCCGCTTACAGAAGTCCCTCTATGGTTTACGTCAGGCACCCAGGTGTTGGTTTGCGAAACTTGCTGCATCGCTTCGCCATTATGGTTTCATTCAGTCCTACTCCGACTATTCTTTATTTACTTTATGTAAGGGTGCGGTTCGCTTGCATGTTCTTGTATATGTCGATGATTTGATTATTGCAGGCAATGATTCTGAGGCTATCTCAGCCTTCAAGGTTTACTTGCACACTTGTTTTCACATGAAAGACTTGGGTACTCTCAAATATTTTCTTGGTATTGAGGTTGCCCGGAGTGATGATGGGATTTATCTGTGTCAACGTAAATATACGCTGGACATCATTTCTGAGGCCGGATTGCTTGGCGCGAAACCTGCCTCTTTTCCCATGGATCAACATCATAGCCTGGCACTGGCTAGCGGAGAGCTGTTATCTGATCCGGAACCATACAGGCGGCTTGTTGGCCGTCTTATTTATCTCTCATTCACTCGTCCCGACGTTGCATATGCAGTACATATTTTGTCTCAATTTATGCAGGCCCCACGGGAAGATCATTGGCATGCGGCTCTACGGGTAGTGAGGTACCTTAAGGGCTGCCCTGGGCAAGGGATTCTCATGCGTTCCTCCTGTAACTTACTTCTCTCCGGGTGGTGTGATTCTGATTGGGCCAGTTGTCCACTTACTCGGCGCTCTATTTCTGGTTGGATTATTTTTCTTGGGGGCTCTCCTATATCCTGGAAAACCAAGAAGCAGCACACTGTCTCTCGCTCATCTGCTGAAGCCGAATATCGGTCCATGGCATCTATCACCGCCGAACTAAAATGGCTGAAAGGTCTTCTTCTTAGTCTTGGTGTGGATCACTCTAGTCCTATTTCTCTTATGTGTGATAGCAAGTCCGCTCTGCATATTGCTCATAATCCGGTTTTTCATGAACGGACGAAGCACATTGAAGTTGATTGCCACTACGTTCGTGATGCTCTGCAGGATGGTTTCCTTGCTACACACCATGTCTCCACTCATGATCAACTGGCGGATATCTTTACCAAGGCCTTGGGACAACGACAATTCCATTTTTTACTTCGCAAGTTGGGCATTTGTGATCTGCATGCTCCAACTTGAGGGGGGGTGTTGGACCTTAATATATTTATTTAGCCTAGTTTTGTAATTAGTCATTTAGTCTTTTATTATTAGCTTGGGCCGTATATACTAGGGCTAACATCAAAGTGTATATATATTCCAATACACATTACGGAAAGAGCAATAGACTTTATTTCCAATTACTTTGACTCCTAAAAATCTAATATTTGTTCTCTGTCTAGGGCCGTTTATGACCTCACAATCTGTCATCTCATTGGAATCTAGCGTATCCATGACTTCAACAGATTGGTTTTCAAATATGATTAATATGATTCTCTTCTGCTGCCTTCCCCATAATGGAACTGGCTCATCTTCAAGTGAGTCCAAAATGAGAAGAATCCTTGCTAATGGTGTTGGAAGCATTAATTTCATGAGCATCAAGGAATTTGTTAGATTTGTTTCTTGACATATCAATGGCTACATTTTTTCATGATTAACATTATTTATTCAGATGGATTATTTCATTTGACTGTTTCAGGTAGTTCTCACCGCTTGTTGTCAACATACTTTTTACTTCCTTTCCCCTTTCAACCTAGAATTAGTTGTTTCCCAGATTTTGATTTCTTCCATTCATATAATACAGATATGGAGAAGTTCCTATTTATGCCTAAAAAGGAACTTCTATACCAATTCATGAGAAGATACATCCCAGATCTTTATATGAATTATACCGGGTGTGGGTTGATTTATTACTAACAAGGAACTTGTCTATTAATTACTTCCATTCATAAAAAAATATGGCCGGTCTTTAAATAGAAAAACCAATATTCACTTTGCCAATTATAGTTTGGGACATCTCATTTGCATAAGTTTGACCCTTTAACTCTTTAAATAAATTCCAGGAGGAATCATATCATTTTCTGAACTTTCTAGCTGAACTTTAAAAAAATATCAATCTGCACTAATAATGTCATCTTAGCGACACTTTGAGAGCAAATTTTGTCAATCTCAAACTTTTATAGGGAAAAATAATTTAAATGCCTCAAATTCTAATGTGGTGTGAAATTATTACCCAAGGTTGCATATGTAATATATATACCTCGAACTTTATGTAAAAAGTTATTTTCGCACCATGATTATATTTTTTTTACAAATGTGAATTTATTGGATTAATTACATTATTTAGAATACTCAAAAGCTTTGTTAGAATGCAGTTAACGTACTAATTAAAATTTCATTTGTGAAATAATATATGATCATGGTGCTAATATAACTTTTTATATAAAGTTTAGGGTATATATATTACATGTGCAAATTTGGGATATTTAAATTATTTTTCTTATTTTAATAATGTCATATTATTTATAGGTTTTTATTATATATAATTTTTTTTATTAAAGTATGATAAGCGAAGTATAAATTACTCCATTCTTTTAATGCTATTAAAATTGCATTGGGCATATTTTTTGTCGCGCATCACGCGTTAAAATAGTAGTAATAATATCCACGGGTAACCGTTTCCCCAAATGATACCAAATAACCATTTTTTTTGGGAAAAAAATAACCAATTTCGAATCCTACTTGTTATTTATATATTCAAAACACCCTAAAACATAGTGCATGTTTGGCACACATAAGTCACTGCCTTCTAGCTTTTGTATTGTTTAAAAAGTCTCTAAAAGCTTTTAGTTGTGTGTTTGGCATGACAAATTTTAAGAGCTTCTCGAAAAATAAAAGATCTTTTTTGAGATGCTACGGGGAGTGGCATCTGAGAAAAGACCATGACGGCATGACTTTTAGTATTAATTTGTCTTAACAGCTTGTATACCAAACAAGACTAAATACAGTCGACTTTTTACCAAACAGCTACCACCTTTTCTTTTTAAGATATTTTCAGTCACTAAAAGCTAACAGTTACTAAAAAGCTCACAAAAGTATCTTTTCAGCTAGTCGTGCCAAACATACCCATACAAAACTAAATATTTAAGAAATCAAGTAGATTGGCCTAAATTCATTAGTATGACATGCATCTAATATCTCTTGTAACATAATAAAGAAAAGTGATCATCCCAGAATCCAAATTCCAAAAATAGGTTTAGGCCTATATTTAGTTTTAGGCCTAAAAAAGTAGTATACTTTTTAGCATTATTTATATGATATACGACAGTATACCACTTAGTATACATAATTTAGCATATATACTTATTATTCTTATATATAAAAAGTTATACTTCATTAATAATGTTACGGATCGGGTAACGGTGCGGGCACCCGCACCATTAGTGAACGGGGCGGTTTCGAGGCGGATAACGGGGCGGATTAATATAGAACCATAACCGCACCATTAACCATTTAAAAAATTCGGGTATTCCCCGCCCTGTATCCATTCCCCAGTCAAACCGATTTTCCCCAGTTTGACCAAATCGGTTCGGTGCGGGTATCCAACGGGTCGGCCGAAATTGCCATCTCTACCCATAAGAAAGTTTAAAAGAAAAGTACTACATCCGTCCCTTTTATATTGAGACAGAAGAGGGTGACACGGTTTTTAAAAAAAGTAGGTTTGTTTGGTTGATATTAATTGATAAAGTAAGAAAAAAGTAAAAACAATTTTGAGCCACACAAATTTTATCAAATATGATATGAGAGAATATTAGTGGGACTTCCCAAAAAAGTAAAACGAGACAATATAAATGGGACGGAGCCAAGACCTGAAACGGTGGGTTTCCAAGACCATGGGTCAGGTCACGCTAGATAACAAAATTCAACCGTTTAATGTGGTTTGGTCCAAACATATAATAAGTATTCTAATTAAAGGTAAGACATTCCTACGATACTAAGTAGTTATATTGCTAATTGGTATCAACTCGGTCAAGGGCCGAGTAACGAGTAGGACCGAGCATTCGGGATTACTCGCTAATTACTTGGCCCTATATTAATTAGTAATTTCAAAAATATTAATGTCTGAAATTACACTAATATATTATTCTTATAAGCCTCATTTATGAATAAAATAATAATAATAATAATAATCCTTAATTCCTAATGAAGAAGAAGTGAGAAAGAAGATAGTGGAGAAAAACTTGTCGAGAGATCGGAAACCACTGCTGGAATGAGTCGATGTTTGAAATACTTTTATAACCTAAACTTTTTAATGTTAATTTTCATTTTTAAAATACGTACTACTCATTATTTATAAATTCCATAGTATCCCTCTTTAATTAAAACTTTTCAAATTCAACCAAAAATATATTTTAAGACTGGCCGAGTCAGAAATTTCCCCATGTCCAGCAACTCGCCGAGTACTCTGCGAGTAACTTGGAAAAGCAAGGCGGGCCAAGTCGGATTGCTAAACGTAACAGTCACCTCCCGAGTTGCAAGTACTCACCGAGTAGATAACACAACTACGATGACATGGTAGAACATTATAGCCAGCAACATGTCTGATGGCAATACTTTGCAAGGGAAAAATTAATTCGGTTAATTCTAAGGCAATAATTACTTGGTTATTTTACTTGGTTTACACCTCGCATTCTCGCAACAGGAAAAATTTATTAAAGATCACGTCAAATAGTTTGATATAATTCATACAGAGAACTTATGTTTTATTTTGAAACTCAAGTGTTGCTCGTTTCATTGCTATTGTGGATGGAAATAATTTTTATTTTACAAGCTTCTACACCTTTGTATGTGTAGGATAATTTTGAAAATGTTAAATCTGTTTCACAATCACGTTTCACAATCACATATTTAAAGAAATCACATTCTTTAGAAGTGGTTTACCACTGCAGTATGGAGTAAATCACTTCTAAAACATTTAGAAGTTAACCCCATTATTATCCTTGCCTTGGATTTTGTATTTCCTTCAAAAAATCTTATTCACCACTCTTGTGACTGAGATGATAGTAAAATAATAACCAAATGTTTATATCACACAAGTTAATTGGGCACTACTAGCCGGGCATATGGATAGATGATGCACACAAAACCCTGTGTTCAGTTCAAGAGATGAACACTCTTATGTGAGATTAGTTTTTATGAGTCACTTAAGAATTGGAAACTGCAAGTGAGAAAACTCGCACCATGGTGAGATTATGGAGCTAGAAAACACCCTTAATATTTAAAGTGCAGCCGTCATTTCATTCATATCATGGAGATTTATAACAAAATGTTACCGGTCTTCTTGGTCGATCTCTCATCCATAAATTTGATGGTAAAATTGTAAACTTAGTTGAATAGAAGCAAACATATTGAATACTATAAATAATACTTAATAAATTGCTACTTCCTCTCAAAATATAGAAAACATTATGTGGCACATAAATAAATTTTATATTTCTCTTGATAAGTATTCACTATACTCACAGATTCATGTGAAAGTCCTAGAATAGGTCAAATAGGAAATACCGATACTTTGAGAAGTTGCAAAAAAGGGGGTCAAATAAGTCCTTATATAGAAAATTCTGTCTGGACGTTCCATTTGAGGTGGCTCCCGGTGGAATTTTTTGATGAAATTTTTTGAGCTTCTTATTCATTAAGTCTAGTTTACTCATACCAAATTTCAAACAAAAATTCAATCGGGAAGACATTCAAATGAATTCTTGAAGATAACTGTGCCGTTAAAAGCGCAGTTATCTTCAAGAATTCGACACTAGTGCAAAAAAGACATTCTATAACTTAGGGGTGGGATTTTGGAACCGGGAACCGTAGAACCGATTGGAACCGAACCGTTAAGAACATTTTGGAACCGAGCCGTTAACAATTAATGTCTCATTTGTAGGAACCGAACCGAAACGGGTTATAACGGTTCGGTTCCCGGTTCCTATAAAAAATATGTGCATGGAACCGTTAAGGAACCGTTATTAAAATAAAATAAAATAAAATAAAATAAAATAAAATAAAATAAAATAAAATAAAATAAAATAAAATAAAATAGTAGTACTAACGATAATAATAAAAATATAATAGAAATAATAACCACCACCACAACAACAATAATAAAACAATATAAGATATTTAACTAACAATTCTATTTAATCAATGGAAAAGAAGTAATAAATATTGTACATGAGGTTGATATAATACATTAAACTCCTTTCTACAAATCAAATTTTGTTCCATCACATAAATTTTATAAATATAAAATAACCCAAATAACTTGTAGTTGATTGCACATATTTTACTTTACTATTTTCATGATATTTCTAATTATTAGATTTATTATGAATAAATAGAATGTAATAATGTTTTTTATATCTATACATGCAAACTCAATGTCTTTTTTTTATGTTTTGAAAGACTTGAAGTAGGCGTCCTATTCTTGCTACAATGATGACGAGTAATCTTCATCGCTTCGACACTACAACGATTTTTAATGTTTGATTTATTACATTAAAATTTAAATCACTTTTGTTCTATTAAGTGTTCAAAGTTTATTAGTTAAGTTTGAGATTTGATGTTTGAAGTGATTAGAGCTTCAAATAAAATTTTAATACTCGTGTTTTGAATTTTTGACGTGTTTAAAATTATGTGTTAATTCTTAGACGAGAAAAAATTATTCTAGGAACCGATAAAAGGAAGAACCGAACCGTTTACTACCGGTTCGGTTCCATAATGATTCTTGATTTTTTCTATAGGAACCGAACCGATTTCGTTAGTTAAAATTTTTATAACGGTTCCACTCATTTTGAGTAAGAACCGAACCGGTCCCAGCCCTACTATAACTGGGTTTTAATATGGGTTCTCAAGGACTGTTATTATATGTAGGAATGGGGTCATAATTATAAATAGTGAAAGTTGCAACAAGTAATACGGTTAAGTATTATAAATATAAAATATTATTCATAACGGTTACAAATAGAACTGACATAGTAAATTGAAACGGGGTCATTTACATAATATCCGCAAACTTATTTTTGAGATGGGGCTCCTTTTATAATTTTAAAAAATGATTTTTAATGTCAATTCACTTATAACCCTTAGAAAGTGGCGACTAACATTTAACCCATCCGTCTGCCTAGGTCTGAAGACGCCGCCGATGCTGCTCCAGACAACTTTGAAGAGGACGACGCCACTGCTCCTCCCGATGAATTCGACAAATACGACGCCGCTGCTATTCTCGACAACTACGACGAAGACGACGCCCCTGCTCCCGACGACTTAGACGAAGACGGTGTCCGCTGCTACTTCAGGTTAACAGACGAAGACGTGCTGCTCTCCATTAACACTCGACGCACCGCTCTGTATCAACCGAGAAAGAGGACCCACGGATTTCTGCTCTCCATAACTGACAAATCGACAATCAGCTCTCTTCCATCTTAGGTAATTTCTCATTTTTTTCTATTTACTTTATACTGAATATTTTTTTCACTTAGGTTGCAGTTGTTGTATACGGTTCCATGTAAGAGTTGTTTATTTCCTTGATTTTTTAGAGAAAACATGATAAATTCTAGTTAATTAGTTTCCAAATTACAAATTTTATTTAGGTTGCAGCTGTTGTTTATAATATGTTTGTAAAAATGCCCAACTCAATTTTACTATTACTTCCAAATGAGAGTGATAATATAATTCTCTTATAGCATTATAATTTGAGTGATTATTTATTATTTATTTTTTATTTGTCAATCTAATTATTTGCATTCTCATTGAAATTGATCTATATGATTCCGTTCATTTCTATAGTTGATGCACCTGCAGTATTATGGTTGCTAGATTAACGGGCTTTGCTTGAGAAGGACAATGTTAGTTGTTACTGGCTTACTGCTTAGCTTTTATTTCTCTTCAACCACTAAAAGTATTTTCTTTTCTATGATGAGTGACTTTCAATATCTAATGTTTCAGATGGAATTTTGCACTGACAAATTCTTTCCCCAATTGAGCATGGGTCACATATTCTCCTAATTTGTCTAATGCAGTGTTTACTTGTTGCCTGAATAGACAAAATGGAGGCATCATCATGTCTCTAATGCCTCATAATGTGAAGTATAAAGCCGATATCTACAGTCTTTCTGACTAATTGCATATTCTGCTGGTGGCTTTCTCTTGTAGAATATTTCATAATGTGTCTGCTCTGACAGTCTTTCATATTTTGTTATTGCAATTTTCTCATCAACGGGAAAGGGATAAAAAACCAATCCGATCTGTCAATTGCATGTCCATGGACTTTTAAGCGTTATTCATATATGTAATCATTGATGGCATTGCAATTTTGGGAAGTACTATTTAGTTTTTTCTAAAATTTATTTATTTTATGTTATTTCAGTAGGATATTGGACCTCAAATTTCAGCAAATCTTCCCTTACATGGAACTTTGACGGATTATCTACTTTCTTCTATTGTTCTAGTATCATTTTCATTTATTTCAATTTGGATTTCAATGCATATACAATTATTTAAAGTTTGATAGTGTGACTACTTAAGGGTTTTGATTTAAATTACATCCCTTCTTATGAACTCTCATGTTCACATTTTTCTACACTCAAGTTGGTTTACTAAATTTGGAGAACAAGCTAAGGCATTTGTCAAAAATTTAGTGGAGACTACTCGTAGTAACTTGCAGGTGCGTAATAGAACACTTGATTCTCTGCATCTGTTCTCGTGTGTAACTTTGCATGCATTTTATTATTTGAATATCATATGCTGTTAATATTCTTTTTCATTTTATATGCCTTGCTTATGAAAATGTCTTCATTTATGCTGGAAAGCGTTACTATGAAAATGTCTTCACTTATGAAAATACATGAGCCTAATTTTGTTTTGGTCATACACCCTTTTCTGATTTTAGGATGCTTTGGAATATGAAAACTTGCTCACAATCAATTTCCTACTTGGAAAGTTTTCTAAAAAATAAAAGTACTCGTATATGCGGATATGCCTATTTGAGAAGCAAACTGTTACAATGTATGATTCACAAATCACTTTACTCTTCTATTCTTTACTAGTTCTATTATAATCTTAATCTACAGCTTTCTCTGATTTCCTCTAAATTGGAAAATGCAGGAAACCAAAGCCCCAATGTTTCGGATATGAAAATTACAATAAACAAGAAAATTGAAGCAAGACGTGATAATCTAAAGGCTGACTTGGGTGAACTTGTGAATGTAGGAACTTTGATGTTGCGAAGAATGACGAAGAGTGCACATTGAGTGACATTCGGCGAGTAAGTGTTACTGATTGTAGGTTGCAAGTTTTATCATATTTGGCACTTTCAAATGATAAATAAGTAATGATTGAATTCATGGTGAATTTTGCATTTGTTACTTGATTGCTGTCAGGATTAAGCGGGTTGTTAACCTTGATTGTCTTCTTTTTTCCTGTGACATTTTGAAATTTTGCCGTTTTACAGGTCGTAATGGATGGATGTCGGTTCTATTATACACCACTTTGTGGTTTCATAGCATGTTTCTCTAGGCTTGAATTCCAAGCTTTTCTACTTTTTCTATTATTATTACTTATTTAATGGGTTTTATAATAATCCTTTCTATGTGGAATCTGAAGTTAATTTTTTATTCTAATTGACAGAAAATTCCGAAACTCGCGATTAGGAGGATTTTATTGTAGCCTGAAGTTCTAAAGTGAAGTAAGAAGTGTAGCTTCAGTACGCTAATCTTTTGTAATTGGTCTTTTGTAAGATATAGGGAATTGTATGGAGTAATTGTTATGTATTCAATTCAAATGTCTGTAGATATAAATTCGGTGTTTCAGTGTTTGTAATTTTTATAGGTTCACATACAGTAAGTTATGTTTTTTGAGAAAAAGCGTCCAGTATGTATGTGTATATATATATATATATATACACTCCACGTGAGAAAAAGCGTCCAGTCAAATGCAAAGCAATTATATTTTTTTTTCTTAAAAACTTAGACCTTCCATAACGGTTGTATTAAGAACTGATATTACAAGTCTTCCACGTGGGTTATAACAACTGACACGGAAAGTATTTGCTAGCTTTTAACTGGTATTTTCAATAACGGTTAAAATGCGTAACCGATATTAAATACATTGAATAACGGGTGTGTGAACCGACATCAAAAGTATTCACTTTTAATAACTACTGAAACTATTTCGGTTCGGAACCGACATAGAAAGTCGATTTTAACCCATATTAAAAGTCATTTTTTCACTAATGTTCATTTGAATGTCTCCCCGATTGAATTGTTAGCTGAAATATGGTATGAGTAAACTAGACTTAATGAATAAGATGCTCAAAAAATTTCATCAAAAACTTCTATAGGGAGCCACCTCAAATGGCACGTCCGGACATAATCTTCTATATAAGGACTTATTTGACCCCTTCGAGGACCAAACTGACCCTTTACTCCTTTGAGAAATACTAGACATTTGCTCTTATTTTTATGTTTTTTCATTATAAAATTAGGGAAATAAGGTCTAGCGCCTTTGCATACTTGTTATTTTGTTTGTGGGTCCTCTTTCATGATGAAAGAAATTTTAAAAGTGTATTCTTTGGTTCTTATAAATGTTAACATGCAGGGGCGTAGGGAGGAGTAAGAGTTGGGCTGGACCGGTATAAAGAATTTTTACAGATGAATTTTTACACATAAATTTTTACTTTAAAATTATACACAATTTTAAATTTTGGGTTGGGTCATGGCCTGATTGGCCACCCCTCCACCTTCGCCCCCGTTAACATGCCAAATAATATGTGTATTCAGCTAATCATATAAAGATGAATATGCAATACACATATTTTTCAACAAAAAGCATTGGGATCTAATGCAATCACGCATCGCGCGTAAAAAAAACTACGGAGTAGTACAAACTAATAGGCATGAATGAAGATAAGGTTAATTTGGGTATAGAAAATTTGTTGGTGGAACACAATTGCTACATGAAGATGTACTCTGCGGTTAAATCATTGTACTCTGTCGTTTCCTGATCAAGCTGTTCACACAATTCCGTAAGTAGTCTCACAGGTAGTATTAGGTTGCTACCCACCATTCTCCAATACAAACTCTCGTGACTGATTTCTTAAATGTTAGGTAGTATTACATAATTCCTTAAACTCTCATGTTTGATAATTGCATCGTGGAAAGAGTAAATGGTGAATGGTTTTGTTGAAAAGATTTGTTTGAAAAGTGAAGTCAATAAATCACTATTGTGAGAGTCAATTGTGAAAGTCATTAAATCATTATTGTGAAAGTCTATTTCAATCCAAATACATGAATTTGCTAAAATAAATCTAATATTCCTTTTACTTTATTCATGCAAATTGATCTTTTGAGGCCTAAATATTTTTATTCAATAAAATTCAATAAAATTTTAGTTGATAAAAACACGTAATATATTGGTTATATATGTATTTGGTGCATAACTAATATCCACTACAAAAAAATTAAGAAGTGAATGAGAAATAAGAAATCTAAATGTGTTTTAAGTAAACAAATGTACATCAACATAAGTACAATGAAACCACTGTGACAAGTTTCAAACCTTAGCGAGCTCCCCCCCCCCCCCCCTACATATGGAGTATATCGAGACCACATCTAATTGAAATAATAAGATGATTAGGTGCAATGAAATCAAATTGATTAATTATGTAGCAAAAATGCGGAAAACATAGGAGGATTGTCCGAATGAAATATTAAACATATTTCTCCATATTGTCAGATTCACCGTAAAATAGTTGTGAAATTGATACTTTTAATGTATGTACATGTAAAATAGCTGAATTACTATTAAATTTGGACTTTAAAATTTTATTTTTTCTAGTGGATATGTTTGTATTATAAATTAATCATCTATATCAGTATCAATTATACTTGTCAAAGTGAAACGTTTAACACATCTATTCGTACTATAACGGGATCCATATATACTTTATATTCATAAAAATATGGTAGGCATACAGCTCCTACTATATACATAATCTTAAAGAATTATAACACATATTTTTAGATTTGTTGTCACTCCCGGACCTACCCGGACACATCAACAACTGCTATATAATCCGAATAAGTCAACCTTAGGCAACCTTACTCGAGTTATACAAGGCATCATCGATATCATTCACACGTACATAGTACATCCATAAAAAAACATAATGTAAAATATTCATTCAAGCATCAAAATTAATACAATAAGAGTTCAAGCCACACCGGGCAAACTTGAGCATGCAAGCCTTCCGATAGTTTAGAAGAAAATATTATCCATGAGCATTATTGTAATTTTTTTAAAACATAATGGAGGAAGCACGGACCAAGTCTTCCCTCCAAGATCCTCCCGAAGCAACGGGTACAGGTGACAAGCTCTAGCTTCTTCCTGAAATTGTGAGGGGCCCCTTTAGTATTTCATTTCATTTATCGTTCGTACGATACAACCCGTAGGTCTCATTACTCATACATGACTTCTCATCGCTGTCGGAGGCATTGTGGAGTCCTCGGACCAGTATCCAACATCCTGCCCTTGGACTCATACCCTTCTTCCTGTATGAAGGTAAGGTCCATTCGAGGTCCTATCTTAAGTGTTACCGCTGTCCGGAGTCTCGTAGGATCTCCGATTCAGATTCTACTCCTACACGTGATCACGCTGTAAGTCCATGCCGTCGGACACACTCTCTAGAGTCGGGTCGGGTCATGGTCCTTACATTTACCATAATTCACCTCGGCATGCTCAAGGACTACCCGAAACACCCGTAGGCCAAATTTATATCTAGGATCAATTCATCAATCAAGTTATCTTGGGTTCATTTAAGGCCTACCCCTAATATAACTTAGAGTTTGTACGTTACTACCTTATGAATTAAGTCACCTTGAAGTATCCTATAGGAACACTCATCCTTAGGATCAATTCATAAAAATAGCACTTTTACTCATTCACATAACTAGTCCTTACATGAAGTAAAGACAATTTACAGTTTGCTCAACTATCATGCTATCATAATCAAAACACATAATCATGCATGATCTATGCCTAATTTCATAAATCATGCTCCTTTTCTTTATTGACCCCTCATCTTTGCTTTTTTTTTTTACCCGAAACTCCACCTTTCAGGTGGGGTAAATGTCGAGCGACATTTACCAAATTTATTAAGCTGGGAAGTGTTTACACAAACGAAAAAAAAGGTGCCCAACAAGAAAGAACACCCAATCGGCCCCATAAATGGCCCAAAAAGAAACTAAATGCTTCTTAGCATGAAAAAAAAAACGAACAACCACCATCCAAATAAAAGAAATAGGCTCTGCTCCAAACATAATCGTCCAAACGAAGTTGTCGCCTAACCCTTGCAGATGCCTCTCTCTTGAGAGAGAATATGTTAGGGCTCTGATAAGTTCTTTAACCCACATCTCTGAAGAAGCTTTGGTTGGGAGTGTGATATGATTCCCGCCATTCGTAATCGCTGAATTGGGTGCTGCAGGTATGGTGAAATTTTCAAATTTCCTTTCGTCATTTAAATGCATGTGTGTGAGTCGTTTTGGATTTGAAACTTGGTGTAACCCATTTTTTCTGAGATCGTTGTTGCTGCTTGCATTGAGATGGCTTCAGCCTGGAGCAGTATTATTAAACATTAATGATCCAAGAAAATCATATTTTAACAATTTAGGTTATGTCATGAAATCAACCCACTAATTATAAGCAATATAGCCAGCCATACTCCCCTTATGAAATGCTTAACTAGCTATCCTTGCTAAGTCATTTGGTCAACCCTCGTTCAAAGCCGATCGAAATTAAATATGAACTAGATGGACAGTGAGTGAAACTGTGAAAGCGGGGCGGCTTGCACAAAAGCCGGGCAGCTTTTGGCCAGAGCTCGAGACAACTTCTTTCAATGACGGTTTCTGGAGCGATTTCAACTCCTATCGATTCAATGACTATTCTAAGTTAAACACCAACACTTTATATCAATATCCTGCACATTTAAATGTGTAGAACCTCTTTTTTAATCCACCGTATGGTTTCTTAAAAATCATATGAATACAATACTAGTTAATGGATATACACTGGTTGAGTTATTAATTACCTCATTCCTAGCCTTTTCTTCTTGGGTTTTCTTTCTTCATGCTTCATTCAAGCTAGGACGGTGTGAAAGCTTTTCCTAGAGCTCTTTCTCCCTTGATGTATTCGAATGGTTCAAATGAAAAGGGTGTATCTCTATCCAATCATCTCAAACAATCATGCATGGGATATGGCCATGGGGGTGTGGGTTTATCTCTAGGAGACCTCTCCCTTCTTGTCCGCCACTTGCCATTTATTTTTGTCACCCTCCCTATTATTTGAGGCTATTTGACTTGTAGAATACCCTAAGTAGGTGTAGGAAGATTTAGTAAGTTGGGCTGAGCTAATACTTTGGTTGCTCAATCACTTTTCATAATTTTTTTATACATTATTTTGGGCTCCTATGAATAGTAAGATGCTCCAACTAAATGTTTTGTAGTCCCTCCTAATATTATGGGTCCGATAAATATTTTAATTAATTATTCATTAATTAAATCTATCATCATCTCACACATAGGAGGTTCGAATACAAAGATTGAATATTTGAATTTTAATTTCAAGTGCATCCAAGTGCGGTGTCACATTTGTATCATTACTACCTTTACTATATACAAAAACCGATAGTAAAATATTAGCTAGCAAATATATTTTCAAATAATTAAGAATCTAGATTTTATTTCCTAATGCATCGTACAAAATAATTGAATTAATTATATACAGTAATGACTTGCATGATGTCAAGGGCCGGATCTCCCTGGATACGTTAACAATCGTCGTAAAACTCGAATGAGCCAACCAAAGTCAAGCATACCCAAAATCATGCTTGGCATAATGTATATCATTCACACATATATCATCCATAAATAAACATAATGTAAAACGTTCAAA